TGTCATTGTTTTATAGTTTCATAATAATATGTATCTACCACTGGTACCGTAAGATTTGGGAATGACGTGACTGTTGAGGTTTTGTTTAGGGAAGTAATTCGTTTCCATGTATTTTATTTTGCAAGCAGAGTAAGAACTTTCAGAAGATTTAAACAAATGACTGACTAAAATTATTAGTACATGTATCAGATTAAAATTACAATCATGTTAAAAAATGTATGAAAAATATTTGTTAAAAATGTGTTGTTTTGAAAAAAGACGTTCAGAATACTTCTGCTCCTACCTTTTTTTTGAAACAGTCTTTAATCGCTTGAGTGCCGAGCAGGGTCAGCGCTAGACTTTTTGCCGCCTGGTTCAAACTCTGCGATTCCTAAATTCTGCCCCCCCGGATTCTTTTTGAATTCTAAAAATTTTTCCACCGCTCTGACGTACCTTGGTACCAAGCTCTGCAGTCGTTTTTTTTTTTTTTTTTTTTTTTTTTTTTTTTTTTTTTTTTTTTTTGTGCTTATTACCTTAAAACAACTGCCAATCAGTTCAGTTGCCCTTCTTTGATTATATTTGTATAAAGTGTCAGAAAGCAGTACTCCTTCCCATAATTCATTATTGTTTGACAGTGCCTTTTGTGAGCGGATTAGGAGAAAACGAACTGTTCAGCACTTTTTGTATGTTATCGGAAATGCATGAAAGGAAGCATTGTTTAGAATGCCTAGGCAATATATGCACAGTGTTTCAGCACAGCGGTTACAGACTTTCAGGACAGATTGAGTACACCTAGACGATGGAAAATCACATAGCAATGCATGGTGGAAATTCTTTCTTGGCGCGGAAGTGACGACACAATACACAAGACCATATGTGGTCGGAGGAGAACATACGTGCAAGATCCGGTGCAGCCCAGATCCGGTTTTCAGTTAATGTATGGTCCGACATCGTCGAGGACCACCTTGTCGGACCGTACTTGTTGCCCAACGTCAGACAGGTGCAACCTATCTCATCTTTCTTCAGCAAGTATTACCACAGCTGTTGGATGACGCACACATACCCGTTGCGATGCTTTCTACCATATGGTTTCAGCATGATAGGCCCTCTCACATTACAGCCTTCAAGTGCGTTTCCACATAACTGCAAAGAAACCTGAGCATTGGATCAGCAGGGGTGGTCTGATGCAGCAAGTCAGCAAGATCCCCAGACTTCACTTGCATTGATTTCTTCCTCTGGGGGTACATCAAGACACTGGTGTACGAAACTCCCGTTAACTGTGCTGAAGAACTTGTTGCACGCACCGTGGCAGCTGCTGGTGAAGTCCGGGACATGCCCGGTATTTTCCAGAATATAAGATCTTCCATACGCCGGAGATGTGAGGCCTGCACCACCGTCTTGGGTCGTAATTTCGAACACTTTCTTTCATGACGATCATTGTCTGTTTATGTTCTTATTTCTTGGATTCTGCTGTACTAAGAATAATAAAGATGTTTTCTCACCCTGTTCGTGTCCTTAGTTTCTTGTCTTTTATGTTGTTACAATCGCGCCAGAAATTGTTTCCGACCATCCATTGCTACGTGATTTTTCATCGTCTAGGTCTGTCTCTACTGAAAGTTTGAAACCGCTGTGCTGAAACACTGTAGAATACCGAAAAGTGGCTCGAAACGATTACTATTTCACACTATTTCCTAAAGATTCTACACAACGCCAAAAGACAAGCCTGTAAGGTATAAAATACTCCCAATAATGGCATTTCTAATACCACGAGGCAAAGCACATGATTATCGACGCTTGCCTCAGATTTAAAGTCCACATCTGCATTTCATTCTTAGTTCGGATGTGAAAAAATGCGCTTGAATTTTTTCAGCAAAGGCTGTTGCTCTGCATGAAAATTGAAGGATAAGTACAGTGTCTATAAGAAATCATAGCATGCTGAAATGCAACGACGATGCTACGATGAATTACCTGAAGTTCGAGCCAACGCTGCAAAAAGTAGCATTTCCCTAAACGAAACTACTTACCAGAAATTATACAATGCGAAAAGACAAGCCGGTAACGTATAAAATACTCCCACTAAATGACATTTCTGATGCCACGTGGCAAAGCACGTGACTACCGATGCTCACCTCAGATTTAGAAGTCCATATTTGCATTTCATTCTTAGTTCAAATGTGAAAAAAAAAAAAAATCGCTGGAATTTGTTCAGCAAAGGCTCTAGCTCTGCATGAAAACCGGAGGATAAATACAGTGTCGATAAGAAATCATGGCATGCTGACTTGCAGCGACGATGCTACGATGAATTATCTGAAGTTCCAGCCAACGCTACAGAAAAAAAAAAAAAAAAAAAACAATACTTCCCTAACGAAAACTACTTACGAAAAATTAATGAGGAAAGGGCCAAGATGACTACTATGAATGAACCACGGAACTATTACCTGCTTAATCGGTATGATATGTAGTTTTAGAGGAAAACAGAAGTAAACTGATTTATCCTATTAAAGAAGGGGTTAGTTCTATCAAGATCTACATTGCGTTTTCTCAGTAAGAGTCTTTCCGTATTACACTCTTATAATATTACTTTGCTTAAATAGCATTTGTCATTCTATATAATGCCTAAATATTATATACCATATATATGCAATATTAAAATATTTCAGGTATTGCGGCCAATGATTCGATATATTTCCTAAACTTACAGAATACATGATTTTAATGCATTGATGGTAATATATGCATTTACTAGACAGCCCTGGCTGTGAAATAATTACAGAAAAGCTATGCCTTTACAACTATATTTGTGTTAGTACTCCTTTTGGTGATTTGGTATCAATATCAAAAGAAATAATTTGTACAGATGATGAGTTTTGGGATTATATAGGATACAGCTTAATCTACAATTTTACAATTTCAATTAATTTAGCAATTTGCTCAGCGCAAAAAGTCCTCATGTATTATGGTTTGGTAAATATAATTGCGAGCAAGTGTAATTATTTTTATTATCTTTATCAGGCTGAACTACTAAATATTGAAAAGAGAGATTTATATTTTTGTGTTATAGCAATAAGTATTATTATCCCGTCTAATTATGTATTTTTCTGTTGACATTTTTAATGTGTTTGTTTTGATGAAACTGAATATTTAATATATATTATTTAGAGTTAAGATCTTCTTACTTTTTATATTCTGACATATAAAATAAAGCATTAATTTATTCAGATCAATTTCCAATATCAAATGAAAGCCCAGCACTCTAGAAAAATCATTGCTAATATCTAATACATTTTTGATGCATTATGGAACAGCTTTTCACCATTTTACAAACAAAGGAGCCAGTTCATCACTAAATGTCAAATATCTCATTAAAACCCATTTTCCATGAATTAAGTTTAACTTCAGTTGTCATTTTACATTGGTCTTTAAATTAAAGGATAAACTAAATTTGAAATCAAACTAAATTTTTATTATAGAACAAAAGAACATGTAAAAATTGCACACAAACGAATAAAGTTCTTCATACAAACTTTGTTTAAAATTGAATAATACTAAATATTGCAACTAATGCATAATTGTTCGCAAAATTTAAAAAAAAAAAAAAAAAAAAAAAAAAAAAAAAAAAAAAACTGAACATTTTTTCATCTCTGTTCGTGGCAAATAATTATTTAATAGGTTGTGAATAACTCCTAGCGAAAAGTCACACTCAGTCTTTCTATACAATTAATGTAAGAGGGTATAAGGTATTTCTCCCGCCTTCTTAGCATGCCTTCGTGGTGTATGGCCAGCACACTCGACGCGTATTGAAGAGGTCCATGGTTCGAGTTCTGGCGAGGGCATTGCTCATTTTCCACGTCTCCTGCTTCGAAATAACCTAATGTCTGTACATGAGCAGGTCTCGTCTTTTAGAGTATCCGAAAAAAATAGCTGATGCATTGCAACTCGATGGCCGTAAAACATTCTAGACGTGCTGAATTGGACTGAAGTCAAGAGAGTTTGCTGACTCATTCATTCAAACAATATCTTCAGTTCAAAGATTGCTGAACATTATCATCTACGATCAAAAGATCTGGGCTCATAGCCTTATCTGGGAACTAAAAACCACATGTACCTCTGCGCGGTTACAGAACGTCTGTCATAAATACGAAGCTCAGTGTGACCGCTTGTCATTATTCCCCAGCCCTTCAATACAGTAAATCAACGTCATGGAAACAATGCCTTTCGCGGATATAAGATGAAAAGTTTTGTGTTTCAAGAACATTCCGGATGAAAATATGCCCAGAACCACCGTTTGAACTCAATATGGACTCAGCCGTTAACCGTATTCAGGCCTGATATACAGGGCTATATTGAGATGAAGATGACACCATTTGAAGCGATCTCTTCTGGAAGACGCAGAAGGCGGGACTCATTGCACTAGCCTTCATGGCAAGATCGTGTTCATGGAGCTTTCGATAAGCAGTAGGTATTCGTGTTAGACTCACAAGTAACGGCCTTTAGATACTGAAGAGTCCCCCAAGACGATTTTGACCAGAAAGAAGGCTAACTATTTCTATGTTTCTTCCAGATTTTTTAGATCGTGCTTCGGGGAAAATTCAGACGCCTGAAGATATATAACTGTATTTGACTGACCTTCAGTCTACTGACAAAGCACCGCTCTTGGCCTTGTTATAAGTCATGTCTTTCAGATATTATTAATAATATCTAATCCCTTCCACATTTGCAACTTTACGTTCATCCAAGATAAGTGCTCGACGTAAAATATATTTCCTTTCATGATTTGCTTTTGTTTACCTTATTTACATATTCTGCATGCAAATGCCTGCACATTAGTAGATTTTTTTTTAATTCAGTAGGACATAATTGCCATAAATAATTACATTTAATGGACTTTTAATCAGCCTTTGTACAGTTAATGTAACGTTTACAATTATCCTTTAATTTTGAATACCAGTATTTAATGTAATTTGCCAAAACATTGGTAAATTTCTTTAAGCAAATTACATCAAACATATTCATAAACTCACCTGGCAAGAAGTTTCCAAATCTGCATAATATCCATTATGAGGTTGATTCACACAAGAAAATGCTGTCTTCGGGACGTCATGCAATGTAGGGTAGTCAACGCCAGCTGTGCCTGGTATTTCGTCACCATCTGTATCTTCTGGTAAAGCAGCTATGGCTAACTTAGCTTGCTTAGAGGACTGCTGTCGCCCTGATGGAGACACCTAAATTGAAAGTGCTTTGTGTTTAAATATTGCAATATAAAGGGAAGCTTAAATAATACGAGCTGTGCGTTGGAGTAGTAAAATCATTTTAGTTTACTACTGAATGAAATATCTTACGTAATGACCATGTTCTATTATTAAATCCGTAAAAATGCACAATATTTTAAGAGTTTAAGATGCCACAGTGATATCAAGTTCGTATATTTCAGAGAACATTAAATAATAACAAAGGGTGTTTTCTTTAAATTTTGTATCTCCACTGTCGATATTATTATTGTAATATGGCTAGATATTTACTTTTGCAATAGTTGTAATAATTATCTGGTGACACTTAACAAAGCGCCTTTCTAGGAAAAAGACTGAGATTCTCCATCCCCCTTGCATCATCTTGGACTTGTACAAGTAATTACGAACAGTTAAAAAATGTATTTCTTTATAAAATGAGATTCTGATGAACCATGGATAATTTTCCAAATATATTCAAAAACCTCACAACAAAACAAAACAAAAAAAAAAAAAAAAAGAGGGAAGAGCTAACTTCTGGGGATGCTACCTGCTGTAGTAAGAGAAATTCACTTCTGGATAATGAAAGTCGAAAACTATTCCCACCTTCATTTCAAAATCTGAGACTTGCACAGTTAGTCTGCTTTCCTCGGTACGTTAGAGGTCTTCACCACCTAATGTAGAATATTGTATACAATGCGTCTAAGTTTATTGTAAATGTCTGATATTAGGGAAGCATATCTTAACCTTTCTGTACATACTCATGGTTTATTATATATACTATATGTATTTATTACATGTTTTAATAAAGAAAACATATCATTGATAGAGAGGGCCCAAAATAAAGCGTTTGTTTGTTTTCCCTTCCAGTCAATAGGTCGTGCTATGGCGATATCACAACCCAGCAGAATTGAAGAGCCTATTACATTTTATTGTGGCATTCGGCAGAATATATTTAAACTCCACAGTTGTCTTAATCGACGGGACTGGATTATAAATTTGACTGATTAATTCTTTTTACGTATGTATAGGTTGATTATTATCGCTAAAAATATCTAAGATATTTCTCAGCTAAACTTCAAAAAGGTTCTTTAAATGCTTAGCTAATCAACAGTTATTTTGATTACTTACTTCGGCTTTTTTTCGTGGTTCTGCTGGTACTCGCTGACGATTTTGACGCGGCGTAACTTTCTCCTCAGTGTTGGAATAATTTTCTTGAACATAGTTCACACTGCTTGCGTGCTGAGTTTGTTGTACTGGCTGTTGCCTACTGTACGTCTGGATTGCATGGGTAGGTTCTTCATCCCCTATTCTGCGATTATATTGATGCTGCCTTTCTTCTACGCGGCCTCTAGAATAAGCTCGACGTTGTTGTTGCCTTGATCGCCTCCTTGAGGAAGTATTTTGGGAAGTACGGATATGTGGAATTGAAACTTGTTGATCCACATTCGACGGTAAATAGTTCTGTTGTGCAGATTCCACTGCAGGAGCTGTATCTCGCCTTGCCGACGCAGGGTTCTTCAAAATATTCAACAACGAATCTTCGGGAATATATACACCATTTGGCGCTTCACCAAGACCTACATTTTCAAATACAGATGGAGAATATATTCGAGGAGGCTGAGTTGTCTCTTGGTAGTTCCTCCTTCTTGATGTTTGCCTTACTGGAGCTACAAAAGACGTCCTTTCCTGTTGATGATCATAGCGTTGTGTTGTCTATAGGCATATATAGATGAAATAAAAAATATTTTACTATAGATGTTAAATTTACTACTTAATTGTTACATAATGAATGTAATTAATACATAAATTAATTACCTATAATTGTTACAGAATGAATGTAATTAATACATAAATTAATTACCTATTTACATATTTATCATTAATTTAATTTATTAATGTTTGTATATATCTTTATATTTCGTTTAGTTTTAGTATGCATTATCTATCATTTTATTTATTTATATATTTTTGTTTATCGTTCTCGCCATATGGCCACAGTACTTCTAATTTTAGAAATTAAGGCCTGTTTACAAAACAAAATACCGCAGCCCATCTTGTTTTGGGCTCCTATACACTTCATCTGGATTTCCGATTTCACTCAAAAATACAGGAGCTAGGCTCAGGAGAGTTTCGATGGAATTTAAGTTCTACCACTAGTAGCGAGAGTTTTTGGATGTGGCCGAAAATTCTCCGGTAGCCTTCATTTTAGCTTTCAAGAAGTTCACAAAATAAATTAAGAGTGAGAATTTGGCTAAGCCCATTCTTATCTCATAAACTTATACATTACTTTGTAAGGATCTTAAGTTTTACTAACGTTTATTTTATTTTAAATCTTTACTATCACTTCTTATTTTCTACTTCCGGCCAGAATTATAAGCGTTAACGTATTTATGCAAAATTTGTCTGGCGAACGCCAAGTACTTAAGTTGTGGCTTTTTGCCAAGCGAAAGAGAGGAAGCAGTTAGTCGAAGCAGGCCGCTTACCTTAGAAGTTTTACTCAGTTGCTGGTTGCCTTCCAGGCCAGAGGTTTAATCCTCTTGATAATTTTTAAACGTATTGTAGCGTTCACAGTTCTCTGTACTACATACGCTTCCTGTTAATATAAGGCCAATCTTCCACGTTTATTATTTTAAAGTCAAATTAGAGTTTGGTTTTATTTTTATACTTTTACGTTTAGACCACAAGTAGTGGGTCTTTGTATTCCGAAGTACGGAGTTATTGTAAATAGAGAAAAATAAAGGGTTTTGTATACCCTTCTTGTGTATCCTGTCTACTTCCCACAGTTATTGAACATAGCTTTAGTAAGCTCTCTGTTCCGAGTCAGGTCCTTGCATGTTCCCGAAGAAAGTAAGACGGAACATTGAACCTGATAGTGGCGCCCAACGAAGAAGAATAACCATGGCCGAGTTTCAAGAAGAACCTGTGCTGCCTGCAGAAGCGGCTCAGAATCCAGAAATGCCAGCTGCCGCCCTGGAAGGATTTGGTTACATCGTCCAGACCATGCGCGCTTCGATGAAACCAGAAGCAACATTTAATGGAAACTCACCGGTAACCAGTTTTTTGGAAAATTTGTATGACCACTTCATGCTCTACCCCGTGCACGAATTCCAAAAATTTACCTTAGCTACCAGCGCTTTGAGGGGCCAAGCGCTTAACTGGTTCAAGTGTATAGGCATAAGTCTCTTGGGTCAAGCAGGAAGTCCCACCTATACTTACGAGAATTTCAAGACTGCCCTAGTAAAAGCCTTCCCTGTTGTAAGGGATCGTTCGAAATTAGAAACGGAACTTTTTAGTATATATCAGCAAAAAATCGAAAATCTCCCAAGCTTTATTTTAAGAAAAATTCACGTCTTCAAACTCTTGTATGGAAACCGTCCGGATCCTGAGATAATTCAAGTGATTTTGCCGAGGTTACTGCCCCAAGTGCAAGACTTTATTGAATTAAGAAATCCGACTACACTGGAAAAGTTATTTGAGCTAGCAATCCAGTTTGAAAGTAGAAGAACGGCGGACATTGAAAGAAGACGCCAATATCAACAGCGAAACCAATTTGGTGCGCCAAGACTACAGCAAACTCAAGCACACGGCTACGGAAGCAAAGCGAATCAGTGGGCAAGGAAACCCGAGCATTCAAAAACAGCCGGCGAACGCCGACAGTTCAATAGCAATCCAGGAAAAAAGTCTCAAGGCCAGTGGAAAAAGAAGGAAAGCACGGAAATGAAAAATAATTTAAACTAAAACGGATTTCTGCTGACGAGAGGGTGCGGAAATCCGAAGGCCACGAAAACCCCTCTTCCTTCAAGTTAAATACAGTAATGGTGAAAAATTTGACTCTTCCGAAGATTGAAGTGTTGGTGAATAATATCCCAGCCACCGCACTCCTGGATACAGGCGCGCAGTGTTCCTGTGTGGCAGAAGATTTTTTTAGGAAGTATTTTCGGAAATACCGCATATATAATTCGGATAATACGACAGTGTTAGCGGCGCAAGGAGAAAAATGTAAGTGTATAGGTAAATTACCGCTGTATGTCCGTATCAAGGACGAACAAGTAAAGGTGATGTTTTTCATAGTAAAGAATCTGCAAGCACATATTATTTTAGGAATAGATTTTCTTTCAGAGGCACAAGCAACGCTGGATTTTAATGAAGCGTCCCTTAAGCTGACGATGAAACCAGTTCGTGGAGAAAAGGCTGAACCGCCGATGTTAAATCTTGACCACCTGCCTAATGAAGAACAACGAAGAATCCGACAAGTGGTAAGTGAATTTGCTTCGTTATTTAGTGATATTCCAGGATTTACTCAGGTTACTAACCATAGTATTGACACCGGAGATTCAATGCCAGTTCGCCACAAAGCATACCGGTATGATAAGAATAAGGAAAAAATTATAGAATGGCATATCACCGATATGCTACGTAAAAAGATCATAACGCCCATCTCAAGTAGTTATGCTAGCCCGGTGGTTTTATGTAAGAAAAATAATGACTATCCTTTGACACATCCAAAAGGTGGAGATTCGCAATTGACTACCGTAAATTAAACTCCATAACTAAATATCCGGTATATCCGTTACCTATTATTGAAGAAATTCTAAGGAACATAACATCCACCAAATATATGACGACTTTAGACTTAACGACTGGTTATTTTCAAATAGGGGTTAGGCCTGAGGACGTGCCTAAGACTGCTTTTATAACCAAGTCTGGCACTTATGCATTTTTGCGTATGCCGTTTGGCCTTTCAGGGGCACCGGCAACATTTCAGCGATGTATGGACATTGTGTTAAGACCTGTTCTTGGAAAGTCCACATTTATCTATTTAGACGATATCATTATTACTAGTGATAATCTCGACCAACATGTACAGGATTTAAGACAGGTGTTTTCTTTATTAAATGAGGCCGGTCTAAAAGTTAATGTCGAAAAGTGCAAATTTGCAGCCCCTGAATTAAAATATTTAGGTTACAAAATATCTCAAAAGGGAATCGAGACAGACGAATCAAAAATAATCGCTGTACAAAAGTATCCGACTCCAAACACGGCGAAGAAGCTCTCTTCTTTTCTAGGACTTTGTTCATATTATAGGTCCTTTATAAAAAATTTTGCAGCTATTGCTGAACCATTGTTAAAATTAAAAAGGAAAAAGGCAAGATTCTCGTGGACGGCCGAAGCCAATAGTGCTTTCGAAAAATTAAAACAAGCATTAACGCAAGCCCCTGTGTTGAAATTTCCTGAAAAGGATGAGAATTTAGAAATTTCAGCGGATGCTTCGGATTATGCGGTAGGAGCGGTACTTTCGCAAAATCAGCAGCCCGTGGCATTTTTTAGCCGAACTTTAAATCAAACACAAAGAAACTATTCCGCGACCGAGAGAGAGGCACTTGCAGTTCTGTTAGCAGTGCAAAAGTTCCGAGTCTATTTTGGAAAGGCGCCAATAACAGTGTACTCTGATCATGCGGCGGTAACTAGATTGTACTCAGGGAAAAACTTATCCCCAAGGTTAATAAGATGGGCACTCAAGCTACAAGAATATAATCTGGTAATCAAGCATACCCCCGGAAAGGAAAATATCGTAGCAGATGCCCTATCCAGAATTAAAATAGATGAAGAAGGTAATACTGTAAAGGTGGCAATGCTCACAGCATGTACAATAAATTCCCGAGAAACTGTAATAACCGAACTGGGTAAGGATCCTGAGTTTGGAAGCATTTATGAGTATTTAAAGGATCCTGAAAATTTTAGCCACCAAGATATTGTGGCGATAAAGAAATAGGGCGGCCCATTACGAACTAATAGATGGTCTATTATTTTATACAAAAACTACGAATTCCAACAACGAATTTCGACCTGTTATCCCAGCTAGTCTTAGATTAAATATCCTGCAGGAGCTCCATGACAGCCCTTTAGCTTCTCATGCTGGTATTCGAAAAACTATCCAACGCGTACGCGAGGCAGTCTATTTTCCTGAACTGCAAAAGTTAACAAGGGCGTATGTCCAGTCCTGCCCAACATGTCAAGCAGTTAATTATATTAATTTCCGCCCGGCCGGGTTTCTAAATAGTATTAAATCCGAATTTCCAAATGAAATAATTGGCATCGATTTATTGGGCCCTTTCCCAAAAAGTCAGTTAAATAAAAGTCGCTATCTCCTTGTTATGGTTGATCATTTTAGTAAGTGGACCGAAATTGTTCCCTTAAAACGAGCCTCCGCGAAATTAGTTACTGATTCTATTTTAAATAAATATATTTTAAAATACGGGGCGCCCCTAAAAGTTATATCGGATAATGGTCCTCAATTTGTAAGTAATATATTTGAAGACATGTGCCAAAAACTGGGCATACGTCATTTAAAAATGGTCCCGTATCGGCCGCAATCAAATATAGCGGAACGGGTCAATAGAAATATAGTGAAAATTATCCGTAGTTATGTTAAAAATTTTCATAAAAGCTGGGATAACTATGTCAATGAATTTGCTTTCGCCCTTAGGACCGCAAAACATGATACAACGGGCAAAACTCCTGCTGAGTTATTTTAGGCAGAAAGATTATAACGCCGTTAGATAAATTATTTTATGTGCAACAAAGAGCCCCAGAATTTAAAATGGGTGATATAGAAAAACTAATTAAAGAAGCAAAAAAGAATACTGAAGTAGCACAGAGAAAACAAAAGCTGTATTATGACTTGAAACGACGGGGAGTAACTTATAAAGTAG